TGGATGTTCTGTCACTGTGTTAGCCCTGTGAGAGACTGGCATCCTGTCCATGTTTTACTCCATCTATTCTATGTTCAATTGAATTTTCAATTCAATTTTATTTATATAGCACCAAATCACAACAACAGTCACCTCAAGGCACTTTATATTGTAAGGTAGACCCTACAATAATACATACAGAGAAAACCCAACAATTATATGACCCCCTATGAGCAAGCACTTTGGCGACAGCGGGAAGGAAAAACTCCCTTTAAACAGGAAGAAACCTCTGGCAGAACCAGGCTCAGGGAGGGGCGGGGCCATCTGCTGTGACCGGTTAAGGTGAGATACAGTCTTTGATTTTTTTTACACATTCATATACACATTCCTTTCAGCATCCTCTGCATTTTCTTAGCCATTCATTCAGCCAACATTCCATCCTTTCATCATTTTCTTCTACTTTATATAATTTAGTGTCACGGGATGCTGGAGCCTATGCCAGGCAGGTACATCCTGGACAGGTTTCAAGTCTATTCAAGAGCCAACACAGAGGGGACAATAATACACATTCACATACCCAATTTAGAATCCCAAATTAGCCTTTGGTATGTGGATGGAAGCTGGAGTACATGGAGAGAACCATACAGGTTCAGGTAGGACATGCAACCCAGCTATCAGGTGGATTCAAGAGAAGAAGCTTAATTTCAATTTCTAGCTATCCTAAGTTAAAACCAAGAGGACTTATGTAAGGAAAAAAGGAGCCGGAGAGCATTATGAGTGGCAAAAAGTGTCAGCCTTCCCAGGCTAACACAAGCTTGCTTTTTTCCATACCTTATCAAGTGTTAACAGCAATCAGTTAAGTAAACACTTAAAGACTCTTGCAGCACCACTGCAGGCGCTGCAGAGGGCAATAACAGGAAATACTGCACTTTGACCTTCTGGCTGTGTTTGTGGCTGATACAGGAGCATTTGGACTCATAAATGCCAGAGAATCATGCAGAGTTATACCTGCAAAATTCAACTGGATGCAGTAATTGTATTTCTGGCATGTGACAGAATACATAATCTGCATTTTTATGCATTCTGGCATGCTAAATAGTATGGTAGCATTATTATTGGAGCACATTCTATAAGATCTGTCAGAAAAACAACCACAAACACCCAATTTGGTTCATAAATTGTTGGACTTTTCTTTGTGTCCTTACAATATCAACAACCTTGAAGCAATTTCGTTGTGAATAGACACTATGCACATACAACGGAATTGGACTGAACTAAATAACAGTGCTCTGGTTTCTTTGTGTTGTTATTCCTCTTCTGACAGCAGCAGACAATAAGGATTCATGGCTCAAAACAAATGATTCCTCTGTCTGAATGGTGGGAAAGCAAAGGAGTGCTGTCAGTGGAATTCTTAAGATTAAAGAGCTGAGCTGTGAGTAGGAATGGGGAGGAGAAAACCTGTGTGATCCTTCTGAGTTGCTTTCGGTTAAACCCACAGGATTCTCAGCTTTGTGTGAAGTCAAAGTGTGTGCGCGCACCACTCCACCCTCGATGACTCAGCTCTCAACTGCTCTGCACTTTGTAGGGATTAACCGAGGCATGTGGCAGACAAATGTTGTTTCTAATGAGTACGGAAACTGCATTTATCACCCTGAAAGCTAACGAAGCATTGCATACTCTCTGTGAGGCAGAAATCACAATTTTCTTAAATTGCAGTCGACCACCTTTCAAAAAGAAGCACTCAACCAAAAAATTGTTTGAAGTAGTGAATAAAATCAGACTTTGTACGAAAAAGTGACTGAGGGGGGTGCATTTGAAAAATTTATTATAAAATACATAGGAGTAGCTCAGGTGTCTTTCTCTTTGTCCAAACTGGGATGGGGATCAAATTTGGTATATTTGTCCTTTTATATCTGCCACCGTTGTCCTTAGTATTTCGAGTATCTCCTTGGTGTAGTGGTTGACACATTCACCTTGCATGTAAGTGAAGCTGGGATGAGACACAGAACACTCAGATGGTCGAAAGCTGTGATGACCTCCGCCAAAAGTATGCATAATAATTATGGGATCAATACTGGTAAAAAAAACTTGAGAAAAAAAAACAGAGCTTCAATCATTTCAGAAGATTCTACAAAAGAGTTCTGGTTTAGATTCAAGAAATGTTCTCAAGTGCTCAATCAATCCACAGCAGGAGACTAGGGGCTGGTTTCTTGTTGAAGGAGTGATTTTCAAATTGGGTTGGGGGGAGCTCGTACTAGATAAGTTCAAACAGTATTTTTCGTTGTACTTGACAGTTGTGCAGCACACACTTGTGCCAGTGGTACAGCATAAAAAGCATTAAAGTGTGTTGTTCAGCCAGCACAGTATATGCAAGAAAACCTGACTTTGACCAAACTTTAAAATCACACATATGGATAGATTGTAGATCACTTTAACATAAAGTCTGAAGCTGAGATGACGAAGAAACTTCTCTTCTTGAGCTCACGATACATCATCAATATAAAATACCCTCAAGCAGCAGGAGCTTGCAGTGCTGCAGCCAGGGAGCTGGAGAAGGCTCAGACTGAGTAATGATCTTCCCCTGATTAGTCAGAGGGCGGGCAGGACTGTACAATAAGCAGGAGACAGGAGAGACAGCAGAGAGAGGTAATGACTCGGCCTAGAAACAATGTTTGGACTAACAGGCTCCACAGATGAGGAGCCACTACAGACAAAAACATAGCTTCTTGTTCTTTGCAAGAATTTCATCACGAGTCTCACAGGTTGAATCAACAACTGCTTCAGTGAGAGATGGTCTCTGTGGAAGGAGACGCTCTCATTTTCAGTCAGAAAAGAAAAAAGAATGCTTGCACTTTCTTAGTAGGAACACAAAATTGATTAATATTAATAAAGAGTGAGTGAGGAAGGAATCAGGAGCAGCTTAACAGCTTAATCGTTGTTCATTAGTGGTTTCCTAATAACTTGCAATCCATAGCCAGAGGTTAAAGTGGGCGGAATGGCACTTTAAGTTAATGTTATAGTTCATTTTAGATTCACTAATAAGGTGTTAGAGCTGTACATGATGTGTTGCTGAAGTCATCTGGATGTTTCTTAATCTATTTTTTAAGGAAATTAAATAATGATAATTCCATGTTATTCAGACTAGACACTAAGTACAGGTTAAACTGGATAGTTTGCAGTGTTGTGTTCCAGATTACAGTGAGAGACTATGTTGGACAGGTGCAGGGCCCGCTTTGGTATCTTTGGCCCTGGGAAGCACCAGGGACATTATAAGAGAGAGAGACTGGGCACTCAGTTCTGAATTAACATTTATGAGAAAATTTTGGATAGAAAGTAAGTGGGGGAACTATCAGAGGGGAAACTTTTAAAACCTTGCAAAGTCAGCAAACTTTTTAGCAATCTGTATCAGATTTGACTGAATATCCTGTGCATGGCATTTTTATGTGTAGTTGAACTTTGAAGTGAAAGATAATGCTTCAAAATAACTGTAACTATAAGCCATTGGATGTGTTTCGATATAGCTGACATGTAAAGAGACTTTATCATTTTGAATATAAGTTTATCATCCACTTTTCAGCTTTAATGGCACATGTAAACTCCGCCTATGTAGCTTTTCCCACCTCCCAAATCCCACTAACTCTTGTCTGTAGCTGGTAGTACTCGGAAATATTGATTTCTGATAATAACAGTTTACTAAAGAACGAGCTTGAACATATTCTGTTAGGATCAAAAGTAGTTTATAATTATCTATAAGTCAATCTTACTCATTTTCTTTGAGAGTTTTTACCTCTGATCCAAACACATTCACTGCTCTGTAATTCTCTTTGTGTCACCTTAAGCACCATTATGAGTAGTTACACATATATGTAATTGTTTTGAAGGTAATAGTGTTCCTGTTTTATTTCATACTGCTTTCAATTTCCCTTCCTGGCTATGGTAGTTTTCCCACCTTCTGCACCACCTGCTCCCAATCAGTTAATCCCTCTCCCCAGTAAACATTCTCCCCTCGGTGTTTCCCTGTCACTGACCAGATTGGGTTGTTACAACCAGATGTTGAGGTATTTCAGCAGTTTCTTGAGTTTCAATGTTTTTTGGGCCATACTTTTTTTGTTTATTTTGCTTCATTATGTTCTCTGCACAAATAACCTTCTGCCTGTCTTTTTTCTGTGTCCATCAGCTGGTTAGTTTGCCACCCGACCACCATGAACTTTTTTATTTAAGATTTGGATTTTATTATCGTCTCCTGTGTCCTGTGTATCATTTGTCATTACAAGACGCTCTGAGGACATCTTCCCAATTAGCTTCTATGTATCTGTCCTCTTAAGAAAAATAAAGCTAGTATTGGTATATAAATATACAAAAGAGTGCTATTAATAATAAGTTAAGAAATAAACCCATCACCCGCTTACCATATATCTTGTATATATCTACAGTATGCAATAACTACCTTTAGCTTTTAAGTGAGTTTCCTGACCACTCCGTAATGAACTGCTATAAGTAGAGGTCATGTTGTCCAACTGACTGTGTGTCGTTGTGTCTGACTGGTATCCAGTGTCCAGCCCCTCTAAGCCCAGTAACAAGGCCCTGCTGGGCCACAACTAAAGCCTCCAGCACCACAAACAATGGAGTAGGGCTTTATGATGGGTCGAAGCAAACTGCTGACTGTCCACTAGTGCTAATACGCCCCTATTCTGTCTTATCTCAGTGGTGTCACTCTTCCTTCACAAACACATGCACACACACTTACACATATGTGCATATTCAACATCTATTTCCCATCTTTGCAGTGGTTTGCAGAAGAAAAAGGGATTTTAGCCATCGTTACATTTATAACTCCATACACTAAGATGGCCCCTCTATACTCCTGTAGCTCCATTCACCATTCACCATCTGTCCATTTACCATCCATCCATAGATTCATCCATCCATCTCTCCACCCATCCATCCATCTCCCAGCCCTCAGACCTCTCCACCCTCTCTCAATTGCTCTCTTTCTGTTTGTGATCGATGCCGAGAGTGTAGCTCAGTCTCCCTCGGGCCCAAACAGTCAAAAGGACCCCTGGATAAACTCCAACATTCACCTGCCTCCCCCAGCTCTGCCTCCCAGCTCTTCCAATCCCACAGCCTGCGCTTGGGCTGCTCCACCGGTGTGTTTCCTCCTTCGGATTCCCACTGTGGACCATGTGTGAGTGTCTGCGTGGAATATTCAGAGTCACCTGGACACCTTCCTCCGATGCAGGTCAGGATGAATCAGTTATGTGTTGCTTTACTGCCCAGAGAAACACAAGCTCCCTGGAAATATTTTGCAAACTTTGTATTTGATGCAAAAAATGTATTTTATACTAAATTACATTTGCTCATCATCAAAGGAATGATTCTCTACTGTTTCTGTTAAGCTTTAGGACCATCTCTGGCTGTGAGTAGGTTAAAATAAATTAAGTTACATTTGGAAAAAGAATTGTCCACTTCATTCACTTTAGTTTAAAGAAATATCTGGAGTAAATTATGATAATGAAATTGAGGCTCATTACCATGGATTAACATCCTCTTCCGTGGTTTTACTTTTCTGCTTTTTTATTGTCTTTGTTTATAAGATTTTTCACCACTTTTGGGATGAATTTAGTTCATCTTATCTTGGACCTACCTTGAAGTTCATCAGAACTGGTTTGTGATTAATGAAAATATTGTACTTTGGCTTAAATTTTAAAAATATTGAGGGTTGATTTCAAGTTATAAGCCTCTGCTGCATGCTGTTTGAAACAGGAACAGCGCTTTCTGGATTTTTAGTCGTAAGATGTGGGCTGCATGGTGATTTGGTCTTTGTTCTTGTTCAGTATTTGGTGATACTTTGGCCAAAGCTTGGTCACAAAATTGTTGTTGCCCATTGTAAATCACTGTAAAAATAACAAAAATGATGTCAGCTTGACAAGCTGATAGTGACTTATTGGCTGTTAGTAGATCTGCCAGGCAGCAAGTCAAAATGTATCCTGTTACATGTAACTCAGTTTCATTCACACTGTATTCTGCACATTATTAGAATCAGCCTTGTTACAAACAATTACGTACGTACTTTCTAGTTAGACTCGCAAGACTGTTTTACATTTTTGGATCTTCACAATCAGCAGATTTTGCTTTACTTGCAAAATTATCCTAATTAGAATAAAAATTTTAGTCAGATGTATTTTTTCTTTTACATAATAACAAATTAATAAAAGGCTCAAAGGAGTCGCATATATAGAATTCACTTGATATAGCATTTACTGTAATGTTGACCACTAGGAGGGAAGATAAGCAGAAGAAACTAGTAATAGAATAACAATATCTTTAACCTGATACATTCATATGTGCCAAGATCACAGTAATGTAAGCATTTGATGAATGAAGTCTAACAGTTCTTTGAGATTTTTGTCTCACTTGACAAGTTTTCTTTTGTAATGTAGTTTGTACAAAATGGCAAATTGCTTTTATCAATTTTCATATGATAAAAGTTGTAAGTGATTACATTAATTTTGGGCTATGAAGTACCCACTACCGCTTATACTTCGTGCATTGAACAGCCCCAACCAAGTTTTCCAAGTTTTCGTTTTAGCTGTAAACACAGAAGATGAGCATTCCAACAAAAACACATTTCTTTCTTCTTCTTTTTTTGCAGATCCACCTATTCATAAAATTTCATAATCAATCTTTGTCAAAATGCAATTCAAAGGCTGCTGAATCCTTCACACCCATCTCTATTAATACCCTCAGGTCAGGTCAGTGCGGTGAAAGGTCATCAGGTCACAAGTTAAGGTGAAGCTGAGGGAAGGAAGTGAGCATTTTGTCACTGATAACATTTTCCAGTTGCTGTTTAGTTTATCTGCTCATGCTGATGAAGTGTGTACAAGTAGGAGAGAGAGAACAGCAACAATCTGCTTCCTCTGTGTGTTTCCAAGACATATAATCCAGCATGACGTAAGTCCAGGCAGACTGAGACGATACCCTTCTTCTCATCCAGTTGGGTATCGCATTGAGCACACGTTTGCTCTGTATATGCAAGCCACCTCTTTTCATGCTGTAACTGACTTAATCGATGTCATATCTGTTGTCACTGATGCCTGTTTTTTTCTGTGTGGGGGACTTTCTGCTACTGTCCATGGGACATACCAGGAAAGAGACACGGTGGCAGATATAAATAGAAATAGGCAATAACAATCTTCTAACACATACAGCTACATCTGTCTGAAAGTCCTGCAAAATGTATCTAAAATAAATGTTCTTGTTGTCAGACTGCATCTTCACTCTGAAGGTCAGGTTGGGTTATGTTTATCGTGTCCACCTGGAAGAACATCTAACCTCAAGCAGAAATGTCTGTTGAGAATAGTTTTCACTTGTATTGATATGTTAATGTATTTTTGAACTGTTACTTAAATTTCAAGCCATATCATGTTTTTATGCTCTAATGGCAGCTGAACTGCTAAACAGAACTGTATTTAAGGCAATAAGATGTATAATGTGCATGGATGACTTCCAGCCAATCAGAAACTGGTATTTTCAGCAGCCGCAGCAGGCATAAATTAAAAAGTAATAACCTCTGAGAAGTGGTAGCTATGATATCACCCAGCACCCCACCCCCATGCACGCAGACAGGCTGTTAGACGATGTTTTTACCGTGACACACACTGACACACACACATACCTACACACTGCCTGCTCCAGTTTCCTGGCCCATTTAAGCGCTGACGAGGGCATAACTGTGGTTCTGGTGGGACCTCGTGCCCAGTGCCACACCTCGCCCCGTCTCGCCTCCTCCACCCCCGTCCCACTCTAGAAGCACCGCTCCTCACTCCCGTGTTTGCTCTCCTCTATCTGATCCCTCAGTCCAAATAACATAAAATCATATCAGCAGATTGTTGCTGTTTTATGAAAAGCTTCTGCTGAAATTAGGAAAAATATGTGTTTTACTCAGTGATACTTCTGACATAGGACTATGTAATCCTTCAGACCGGGTTACTACAAAGTAAAATACCTACAGATACCTTCCACTTTCTTTCTCTCTCAGCCTTCATCCCGCTATTGTCTGGCCCTGCCCTTGATTCAGGATCCCCGGCCTTCTCTGTATCTAAATCCTGGCTTTGTGTTGGAGCTGAAATGCAACAATGACCATGTTAGCTGACACAGTGTTGGCTGTCTGATCTGCGCTGACAGCAAGCCCCCCCTCAACCCCACCTCTGCTTGGCTTACTGGAAATGCAGATAGCTATTGCTCATCTGCAGGGCTATGGGCTGGTTGGTTGGGCCGGCTCTATGGGGGTTACGTGGTTGGTGTGCAGTGGTGTGCAGGTGATGGGTTATAAAGCTCTGGGCTTTGAGTGGAGGTTTAAACGGTCTGCAGGTGTTTTCAGTTGTTTTTTTGGCTAATTAAAAAGATGTCAGCCCAGTGCTGTGTGGTCATATCCACAGTCCAGAGCAGAGGTGTGTAGCTGCCCTGCAGGTGTGCAGGGACTGTATTATTCAAGTATCCATGAACTTCATCGGTTCACCAAAACATTTTCGTTTTTAAATTGCTCCACCTGAGCCAAGGCTGAGCATTATGCTCTCAGTGTTTTTGCTTGTCTTTGTGTGTCAGCAGAGAATTGTACAAATCACTAAACTAAATTTCTTGAAACTTGGTGAAGAGGAGGAGCATAGGCAGAGAAAACATAAACTTTGGTTGAAGACACCTTTAGCATTTCCAATTAATAATTCTACTATACAAAGTTCACTAGAGGGTGAGACCCTTGTGTTTACAAGTGAAACTAATTCACCTTCTGGGACAAAAGAAGGCTTGGCAAGAAATGTTTTGAGTTTTTGGAGGTGGTACAGCATGATGCCTGTTTCTACATGTTGTAAATTAAATCCAAAGTTTTCTTCACATACTTTGTTATTGCTGATTATTTGTTATGGACAGTATCCCTCCTTCTCTGCTCCTCGGGTTATTTAGCCATGCAGTTACTGAAAATGAATTCCTTTTTCATGTGAGTAAACCATGAGCATGTCTTTTTACTTTTTTACTTTTCATCTATTCACTACGTGATCCCTTTTCACATTCTTTCAGTAGCCCATATCTTTGGACTAAACAATATTATATGGTGGCTTTGGCACAGGAAGCAGGTCATATTCTAATTGGAAGGTTGTCAGTTCGATCCCTGGCTGCTCCAGTCTTCATGGGACTGGATGTTGAACCTTGAGTTGCTCCCAATGCATTCAACGGAGTTGCTTACAAATGAATGTGTGTGAATAGGTTAATGAACATGCTGCATAAAGCACTTTGAGTGCAAAAGCGGTTGATGAAGTTGTTTACTTTCCAGGATCAAATTCCTTTTATGCAGCTGAGTTACTTCCACTGGAGTGAGCGCCTCTCCACTTCGTTTCACCTCAGTGAGTGTGAAGTTGTTGGTTGTGTTTTGGTTTGCACGAGTGCCACCTTGGATCTCTTCTGTAAGTGGCAGCTGCCAAGTATGAGTTTGTATACACTAACATGCAAGTTCTCAGATGAGTGGGGATGTCAAGGGAAGGAAATATGGAGTGAATATGAACTTTTTTATATAATACTGTTAATGATTTATTTAGAAAATGTCAGTGTAGATGTAGATGTTTTAATGCTTCTGGAAGGAGAGGAGAAAAACATTCCCAGTGCCACTGCATTAATATTTGGACAACATCCACAGTGTTGAAGATCCTTGAATCCCAAACAGCTCAGTGGGTGTAAAGGAAAAGAGAGTTTAGCAGCAGGTAATCTTTTGGTTTCTAGATGACAGTTGAGAGGACTTTGGCTCGCCAGCTGGCATGTATAAATTCTGCAACCAGCTGGATTACTGCAAATCATCAGTGAATTCAAGGAAGCATACAGAGACATACACAAATACACAGACATACACACACGGCAATGCTCAAATTCAGGCAGGAATACACAGAGACAAGCATATATAAATACACACACAACATCCAGCTCACAACAGCAGCTGCTTCCTTGAAATACATCACACTTTCTCTAAAACAAGATCCAAGGCCTGCTGTTCCTATTTTCAGCCACTTGGGATAAAAATAGCTTCTAGGGAGAAACATCACTCACTGATAAATTCATCCTGATACTTACTGGAAGCAAAGACGAGCTGAGTTTTTATTAGAGCTGTTTTCTTGTTTATATTGGCTCAGCTGAAACACCGAAGCAACCAACAGTTGGCGTCTTGCTGGAAAGAAAATCCACCTTTCAGATGTCACA